AACCATTTTTTGCCGAAACAAAAAGGAAAATAATAATAAATAAAAAAAAAACAAATACATGGCATGGGTGTCGTTGAATTGATCGACGACACTCATAGTTGATTACACCAAAATAAAAAATTGCTTGAAAATATTTCTACTTATGTAAAAGGTTTTCATATTAATCGTAGTTGGGTTAAAAAGTCACAAGAGTCCATATAAATTATGGAGTATGTATAACAATTACTTTTACATTTTAATTTTTTTTAATTCTTGCTCCAATATATGTAACATAGTGTTGATAAGATTTTCTTTGTTTATAAAATAGATTACAACACAAGTTCAAATAAATCTCGACTCTAATTTAAAACTGAAAAACTTCATTGAATTAGTTTTTTTTTCCCTTTCTTACGTTTCACTAAACTCATAAATTTAATAAATAATGATATGAATTCTATTTTTGAGATTATATAATGATTACTTTGACGGGAAAAATGTACACTAATAAGCCTCCATTATCACGATGACATGTGTTATATTAAACACTTCATATTTTAAAATAACTTTTCAAATTTTAATTAACATTTCAATTTTCGGCTAATTTATCAATTATTTTTCCCAACATAACCTAGTCTAAGAGCTCATGGGCTAAAATCAGGTTTCCAATTATTTTTTGGATGCCTATAGTTTGGGCCACTTACTATATTAGCTTCAATTGAATCGGACCATACTAGAGCAAAAGCTGCCATTTTTATGAAGTGATGGGGTTCCAAACTATTTCCTATAATTTCATTTCTCTTAGTTTGGTCCCACTAGCCCTTTCCAAATTTTGCTTCATCAACATATTAACTAGTCATGTCATCATTCGCTCATTCATATCAGTTGCATCGTTGGGGACGAACACATTTTCCATCTAAACCCGACGTAAATTTTCAGACTAAAAAATGGAACTGTTGTGTTGTCGTCTGTTTTTTTTATCCACGGATTAAGTTCAAAACACTCTCATCTACGAAGATTATAAATCTCAATATAAGAAAGAAGAAAATTTAATCTTTCTGGAACTTATTAATTACATACCAAGATGAGAGTATTTAAGGAGAGTACATAGGCTCTCCAAATTTGTGGTGGGTCTGTATATTTATCATGTAAAACTGAATCAACACTCATGGTCATTGACGAGTTAGGTTTTCAAAATTTAGAAGGGAATACTCATTGGGTGTGGGGAGAAAACCAAACCAAGAAAGCACCTGTGAGAAACAAACTGAAAGTTGGTGATGAAGTGTGTGATTGTGTTAGACAGTTGTAGTAAATAGATTGAAAATAAAAAAAGGATTTGATAAGATTGATAAGAAACTTGCTCCCCTCGTGAGTTTACTCTAGCAACTCAATAAGCAAAAATAATTAAGCTTCCTACCTTGTGCCTTGATAGACAATGATGGTCAACTCAACATTTTTTACTCGTGACAAAAGATGGGGTAATAGAAATTTTTGGGTATATTTTGGCTCATATGTTGGGCTTCCTTTTTTACATACCATGTTTTTGTTTGCTCTTATTTGTAAAACACGTAATATTCTCTTGTAGTAACCCAATTTCGTCCGAGAAATGTCAATTTTTG